CAATTAATTATTATCCTGATGAATGTCACAAGCTACGTGTTTCGACAATAAATCGTTAGACCGATGATGCGCGGCGCACTACCGAGGTGTATACCCAATTGTACAGGTGTCATGTAATTTGATAATCGGGTAATGCTTAAGGTTAACAACCCATCACATACGGTGATTACATGCGATAGACATTAAAAAATAAAACGTTAATTTCACGACTAGTATAAAATATATTTTAGTATAAAATATTAATCTGTTTTTTTATTCCTGCACTAAACTGCACTAGAACATTTTTCCCGCTTTCACCAAATATTACAAAATATATACTCCCCTATTTCACTTTAAATTCTAAAAGTGTACACTAGTTCAGCCACAAAAAACAGGCCAATATTTTAATAAAGTGTAAATTTAATTATAGAAACCATAGAAACCATAGCAGTTATTAGTGCCGAAATGATATATATATTAACATTACATAAAATTCACAAGATAAATATAAACAAATCAAACAGCAAACGTTTCGTCTCTTGGTTCCTTTCCAGTGTAACAAGCAGAAATCAAACATAAATTAGACAGAGGAATAAAGAGTCTGATTCCTCTTCCCACACAGTCAATAGGTGAAAATTCTGATAGTCAATTTGTAAATTCCGAGGATCCAAATAAGAAAACTCGTGAAATTAACCGCACAACTTTTCAAAAAATTAATTTCTATAGCTTATTCAATTGCTCATCGTTTAAACATGTACATTTCGAATTTTCGTTTGCACACTTTTGGTAAAGAGTTATTAAAAAAACAATTTTGAGGGACTAATTTCACATTAGCTCCCCCCTCCCCTGCCAATCACGACCAAATTAGATTTAACTAGTCTCAATCGATAGATTTTCGTTTGTACATTCCGAAACAAGTCGATTTTTTGTTTGCACATCTCCGGTTAAAAAGTTATTAACAATTAAAGTTTCGACAGTCTACTCTGGTAGATAGGTTTGAATATAGTAATTTAATAGTGTGCAAACGAAGAATCGACTTATTAGAGCATTTTTTAATTAAGTCCAAAATCATAAACCATCATAAATTTGACGAATTTGCGTCAAGTTAGTTTATAATTCTAGGGTTAAATGAAATCAATATTCGCATTATAATTTAGAGACAAATATTATATGTATATGCATATATCTATTTCTAAAGATAAACAAAATTCTATACTATGTTGTACAAATTTAGGTTATAGCATAGTTAATGTTCAAGTTACTATTGAAGTTAAATATGACTCACTAAAATCCATATTTAGACATGCAGTCTGTGCTGTGTTTTCATTTAGAGACTGTCGTATACGCTTGCAACGAAAATAAACAAGTCTCCTATCAACACTAGTCTAGTCTTTCAAGGGAGTTCCCAGGGGACTATTCGAGAAACTTTGTTCCCAACCAACAACGTTTCCCAGATGCATCACCGAGGGATAAGAGTACTAGGAACGGCTGGAGAGAGGAGCGAGAAACAATAATATTACTTGACAAAGAACAAGAAAAATTACGAAGTAAAGAAAAGGTTCTACACGTCATGGGATCGCAAACGCGCTTCAATTCACAGAGATAATATTTACTCCCCACCATCGAGAGATAATGCAACGGCAAAATCGATATTTGTGCAAATTAACTTACTGTTAAAAAAACGTAAATTTTGAAGAGGGCGCGAAAGTTTATATAACATCTCGAGGCACTTTTCGTCGTAAGAAAGTGGAGAGATGACCCAGTTAAATTATAAAAGAAAATTTTCGGTAAAGTTGAACGTCATATGTGCGCATCTTACATTCTCTGAAAGTCCTATAAATTCAAAAGCTTCACTTCGACTTCAACTTCGCTCGCTTTTAACTTCAGTTCAAGAGAACCGAGAAAGCGAGATTATATCAAGCAGGTTATAAGCACGTCTCTAATCAATGCAGAGTTAGAGTGTAAAAATGCTTTGGGACTTTACAAAGAAGTTTCGTGCTCCATGATTTTTCGACAGCTTCGGAATACGCCTCTTAGAACGAAAAGTATGAAGAAACCACGCCCGACACGGTAGGTGGAAAACAGAGCGATATACAGCGAACGTGTGAGATATACATGTAACATGTATACGGCCGCATTTGTGCACAAACACCGATTTCATACGTGATGGATGTTTGAATTCCTTTACAGAAAACAAGTTTCGACAACAGATCGCTTGTAGCACGTCATGTATAATTTCAAGTTTAAAAAGTGTACCTTGATCTTGGATATGCATTTTTCAAAATTGTTCTTTGTATTATGCTACGTATTATACGATGATTTGAAAACGATAGCTCTTACGTAACAATTATGTATTAGAATAGTCATATATAATTATTATTTTTCTTAAGACAATCTTGAAATTTTGCATTTTCGCTTAAATGAGAAATAAAAATTAGGAAAAAAATCGTAAAAATTATAAGATAGGTATTTAATGATAATGGCAAAAAAATGCATTTCTATAATATAATTGATAATATTAATTCTCAAATAACACGTATTATTTAAAAAATATTCAGCATACTTAGTCCTTTGTTACATTTCGTTTTTTATAACTTGTAATCTATATTGTACAATAATACGTATTCATATAGCCATGTCAAAATTATTCGATATTTTTTCAGTCGAATAATTTGTAGATGTTGTGTGAGTTGATCTTTTAATGGAAATTTCTTAAAAAATGCATTTTATTCTTGAAGTAGAGCATTTTAATGAATAAATCTTGAATTAAATTTCTATTAAGATAAAATTTAGTTAAAATTATACTATAATAAAAGAAATTTTTTTCCCTTAACTTATTTTTTATACAAACATTTCATTACAAAAATTTAAATTCTTAAAACTGAATTAGCTGAAGTAATATTCTACTTTATAATTAAAACAGTGTAAAATAAATTTTTATTTAAACACGATAAATTTAAGACAATATTTTTGAAATCTAAAGAAAGATTATACATTCTTTATAAAAGATAACATATTACATTTCTATTACATAAAATTCTCAAAAATAAACTTTTTCTCATGATTTTAATGGAGCAAGATTTCTTAGTATGACAAATCTTTCTAGAATAAAAAGTACATTCGACAAATTCGATTCGAGACAATACTTATTCTTTATTTCTGTTCAATTTTCACTTAGAAGATCAAAGGAGTGTTTATTCTCAGGCAATCTTCGCTTTGTGAAAGTAATAAATTAATATTATGAAAACCGACAGATAGAAAATCTGTTATAAATATTCAATCTTGTTATAATGAGGGAGTACCAATGACAAACAAATCTTCAAGCAATAATGGTTTTCTCAATCCCGAGAAGTCTTCGGAAAATTTTTTCTATCTGCAAATCTTTATTCATCAGAAAAAATGAAAAAACTGCCGATTATTAGGTATTTAATTTATTATTTTTAACGATCGATGGTCGAACATGTATATAAATAAAAATTATTAATTTATATTAAAACTACGCATTGTTGTTATATTATGATTATATTTTCTTTTAATATTTTGTACTTATATTTCCCTTTGGTCTGACTTTTCGAAAAATGAAAAAAACCTTCACATATGTTAACAGATGGAAAAATAAAGCGAATGGTTTTAACGAACAAGTTTTAACGAACTCGTTGACAAAAGAAAAACAATATTAACAGATTTCATATTAACCACACTAATTAAGTACAAGGTAGATATTAATATGCGAGTACTTTTGTTTGCAGTGCGCATTGTGAAAGATGTCCGCGATAAACAAAAGAAAATCAGAGCCACGATGTTTAACGTGAGTTTAATTAAAATACGAATAAACGATCTATGATCCACATAGAAGTATGTGCACACACGTTTCGATTAAATTTGCATGCAAATATCCTACTACCTTAACGAAGTGAATTCAGCACATTGGATTTTTCCTTCGTGCCTATATGCGAGTATCAGCAATTCTCGAGATTATCCGTGTTCCGATAAAAAAACACTTATGTACATGATAGTTCTCAGCGGTATAATCTGCATAAACCGTGTAGGCATATGTATCGTAATCACTTTTGATCATAAAAATCCAAAAAATATTTTTAAAGAGAGAAAGAGAGAGAGAGAGAGAGAGAGGGAGAGAAAGGTAGCAGAATTTGTTAATTAAAAATGATATTGAAAATTAAAGTTTAATCTTCATTGGATGTAAATAAATGACAAAATATCATTTTCACCTCATTTTCCATGTACTTTATCTCAATATAGAATTTTCATTTTATGCATAGTTTTTGAACTATTTCATGCGAAAAATTGAATTCTGGGAAATAATATCCGATCCAATTTTTGCCAAAGAAAAATTTAACTTTGCCGAGGAATTCGCCAAGTAAACAAGAGGGGTTATATACAACAAGACGTCAAATATCCGAGCGAGCTGGAGTAATATACTCGCTATTGATTATTTACACACAAAATTCTCAAAAATGGAACAAAAATGCGAAATATTAAGAGAGATATAACAAAAAAACTTAAATAATATCTATAAATATAATAAAACAAAGCGTAGTTTTAATAAAAAATTAAAAATTTTTTGTTCATAAACATATTTAACTATCGCGATCATCAAAGATAATTAATATTTAAATAAGTAATGTCCAAATATATATATAAAATCAGTATTTTACAATACTCAAAATACTAGAATAAAGTTTATCCTAAAAGCGAAACTGCATTCGACTGTTGCATACCAGAAATTTGGGTTTTATCAGGTATAACTCGTCTTACAAAACTCCATTTTTTGTTTGTGTTCAAAGACATTTGTCAATTTCCAATTTATCGTGAACTCAGCGCAACACGTAAATCGTCGGTCTTACGTGCGCCAGTCTAACGATTTCCATGCTCCTACTTCGGACAGTTTACCGCAACAAATTTGATGCACGTAAAGCAACGGTTTTACGTGCCGCATTTCCATAAGAAAAACAAAAAGAAGATAGACGGATGAAAAGCGATATGCATTTTTTCGTACTCACCCGCGCCAATGCCACTGCCGGGAAGCTCTCCCACGCGAGTTGCGTCTCTTCACCCGGGTTGCCGTGACGCTGACCTGCGAGAATCCTCGCCGCTGTGAGGGTACTCATCCCCATGCCGTCGCCGACGAAGAGGACGACACCACGTGCCACTCCACTCGGTGGCGTCGTGCCGCTAACGCTGGTACTCGCTGCCTCCCTGATCCGCGTCTCGATCGCCCGCGTTGCCGTTTCATACCAGACTTCCCTCTCTGCAAACAAACAGGCTCGATATGTATCACGCGCGAGCGATGTAATCGGATCAGTACAATTGCAAAATGAAACATCGCCGTAGGTCATACGTAACGGATTCGGGTTTTAGAAAAGGCAGTCAACAGTTTGTATTTACGCAAAATCGTTCTATTCTCGCTACGTACACTGAAATTATATTCGAGGTGATGCTGCCTCTGATTTTCCTTTTCTCTTTTTTTCTTTCTCTCTTTTGTACTCATCATATTTTGTTTTCTGTCTTTTATTTTATATTATTCTATTTTTTGTTAAATTCATTGCTTTTCTTTGTAACTAATTTTCTTTAATTTTTGTAAATTTTCTCTGTTCTCTATATCATCTTTGCTTTAATTTATTTATTCTTAGAACAATAATAAACCCTCTATCTATTTATCTATCTCTTTTTTTTGCTAAACCATGTACATCTCATGCTAATATTATAATAGCTCAATAATAATAAATAAACATAAACAAAAAAAGGCTACGAGCCAATAGATAATATATTTAAATATTCAGATATTTCGATCTTTTGTCAGGCTATAATACACATAATTACGCTATCACAGAAACTTATTTTGCGCAATTATAATAGAATTATGCGTATCCAACCATTAGAAACTTAATTTATTGCGTTAATTTTTTAAATTTTGTAAACACTGAAGATGGCCTGACAAAAGGTCGAAACGTCTGAATATTTAAATATATTATCTATTGTTTCATAGCCCTTATTTGTTTATGTTTATTTATATATATCTCTTTGATCCTTGTGGCGACTACAAGCGCCAGCACATAGCGTGGCACACGCCGGCTCTCTCGCAAACGCTTCGCGGGATCACCTTTCTCGCGAACGCTCCCAAGACGCGAACCGCGAGTACCGCGACTCAATCCCGAGAGAGCTGGCGCGACAACCGCGAACCCGCAATTCGGAACTGCCCAGCGGGACATTTAAACCCCGCGGAGACAAAGCCGAATTGCTCAGAATTGCTCAAGGCGATTTCTAGAGACATGCAAATAGTATCCTCGAACCGCAGCCACGCTGAAGTGATCGACACGACCAGGGGACCAAAGGGTGCAATTCCTATTAGAGAAACTTCCCGAGTTCCCGCGGGTACCGACGCTAACAACGTCGTCCGGGGCCCGTTGAAATGGACGCGCGATAAGCCGGAGGTCAGCTACCGGGAACGCCTATCGATAACCGCCGTAAACGGCTCTTTTCAGGACCACTGTAATATAAAAGTGTAAATATATTGTACATAGTTTGGTAATTTTCGTCTCCTCATTTCTATCTTGCCATCTTGAGCACGGAGGCAGTAGAGGCCGATAACGACGGCCAGTTGCAACACCGTATGCCACGACTTATACACGACTACGCTATAATTCTCTAGCACAATTGTTTTTATCACACAAAAGCATAATAAAGTTGTCGTTGTCGATTTTTCATTTAAAACAAATTTTGACCTTCTTCGCGAAATAGCCTACATGTATAATTGTTTATTAAAAACATATAAATATCTATAACTATATTGAAATCACGTATAATACAATTCAACTGTAATCGCTGAAAATTAATACATGAATTTTATTATTTATTTTATAATACTACTATAAAATTAATTTATAATGTAGTTTTTGATTGTATTTTTTAGTGCAAAAGATCATTCATAAAACTTTAAAAGTATCACGTAGAGAATATAAAGTAATATACTAATATATCCATTTTTAAGAATATATCCGTTTAATTTACTAATCATACTTAATGTATTCATTTGAGAGTATCATTAAAGATAATAATAGGATTTAAAAGAACAATTCTAGGTTTTGCTTATTTCCTTTTTCACTTATTAAACGAACAATGAAGCACGGAATGTTTAATAACATGGAAAGCTTATGTCTCCTTTAAACAAACTTCTTTTTTCATCGTTTTTTCTTTCCAATCAGCAAAAATGAGCAAAAACTACGAGCAAACCTTGCATCTTAATATCTGGTAAATAATCTTAATCCAAACTTCTTATTGAAAAAAAAACTACTAAGAAAATAAATAACAAATTTTTCAATTTTGCTAACTGTGTATTAATATACAGAGTAACGTACAAAATGTTATACTATTCGACTTATATATGACACATTTATTTTTAACAAAATTGGTAGATATACTAGTTATAGAATTGATTACCAAAGTCTGAAAGGTAGACAAATAAATGATCTGACATTTCGCATCTTATAATTATCTTACAAAAAGAAAGAAAAATCACACAATAAGAATTAATTGCTTGACTCAACTTTTTACAATAATTTAAAATCTTTAGTATCTTTCAGTGTGTGTGTAGTAAATATTTTAGTCAATTAATATGAAAGAATGTGCCAGAAGATTAAAGTAATTCTAAACAAATTTTGCAAAATTTATACCCATTTTATATTGAAAGAGCAAAATGCAACTTGTAGCATCTTAAGTGGAGTCGCGTGTCAAACAAGTTTTAAGGTTAAACGATTTCTTTTGAAGCTCGGCAACGATATTGCCGGGAGCAACAGAGTTTACCGAAAATGGCAGTTTCTCCGAAACTGTGGCAAACGAAACCGTCCGTGCGGTTGCGGTTTATCCGATTCTCATAATTATTCCCAGTTACGACTCGATAATGGACAAGTTGAACCGTTTCTAATATGAATCATAAACCAACAATGAATAAAATGCATGTAATTTTACATGGAAATTATATGTTCATGACTGGAAAATTGCCTAAATATGATTGGAAATTTACAATTTTCAGTAAATTTCCAAGCATATTTATGTAATTTAGATAATTTTCCAGTAATATACATGTAATTTCCATATAAAATTACATGCATTTTTTTCAGTGTGGATTTACGGAAATAATAATCAGGTTGGAATAGAATACGATTGAGGACTGCAGAATTAATATTGCCCGATAAAACCCTCCTATGGATCCTAATAACGCAATGAATCATACGTCATATACGAACAAAATCATTTTCAAGAATATTTTTCAGTTTCGCACGAGTGATTACAGTATTCATCCGTGCTGTTTCTCCGATTCTTCGTATAATCTTGAGAATGCTTGAAGATTCTGAATAAAACTCTTATCTGTCCGTTTATCCAACACTTTACCGGAGAAACACGAGGAAACAGCACGAGCGCACTTTGCGTTGAACTAACCCACCCGGAATTTAAACCAGTACACGAAGAAGCAGAAATTCCCGTGCAGTTACTATTCTAGCTAATTCATGGAAAATTCAAACCCTACGACGTCGACAGCCTGCAGCGCGAAAATACGAGACGCACTTATGTTTTATTCGTCGACTCCGCACTTCCGCTGATTTTTGCAGCGTGTCGTTAATCGACGCATCGCAAAGCCCAAGGGATTTTCCGTGAGAAATAATCTCGAAACTCGCATTGAACGAGATGAGAACATGATTAAGATGTATTCAGCAAAATAGAAATCACGCGGCACGCAACATTTCTATGCATTTGATCGGACATAACGAGCTCGCGTTTGCATAGCATATCTCGGTTAAACGACGCGAAAGTAGTTTTTGAATTTTTAACTCTATCATAAAGTTTGATTATTAATACTCCATGCGACACAAATGTCATTCTAACGATGAGTAGAGCATCATCGTTAACCATGCGACCGAGTCAATTAGAGAACAATTGGCAATCAGCGCAAGGTAAAAGAATATTCATTTCCCTGTGTTAATAAAATCACTTTATAACTTTTACGTTTTATTACGTAATTTATTAATCTACAGTGTATCAACCACAATCATTCCTACAATAACTCGCAATTGTATTTTGTGAACAAATCAAAATATACAGGAACATATTTTTAATTAATAACCCAACGATTGGTAAATATTATTTAACCCTTAGTACGGACGTGAATCATGTTTCAAGTTAATTTCCACCATAATTATTGAACATTGCTACAATAACTTACGAGTGTATTTTGCAAATAAATTGAAAAAACATATAGAAAGATATTTTTAATTAATGCATTCAATAATGGGTAAATATTATTTAATCATTGTATACATGATGATTTTCTAGTCTTTTACTATTCGCGATAGGTCGTGTTCTGAATTAATTTTCATGTCCTGAATTACTTTTACAAGCACACAAAAATTATTAAAAAATTCTTACATATATTAACATCTTCAGAAAATATTTGTAAAATTATATATTTAAGAAAATTATATATAAATGTTATAACTTGATGCTATTAAATAATATTAAAAAAAAAAGAAATGTGTGCAGGATTCGTGTGTAAAAATTAATAATAATATCCGCGAGACTTTTAGTTTTAACATAAAAAGAAGTGCACAAACATATAATCAAAATATAAAACAATTATAAATAGAATAGTTTTATATTTCAAAATACTAGACTCTTTCATTTCAATATTAATTGCAAAATAAATCTTGTGGTGCAAATAATTTCAAAGTAATTAAAACATTTAGAGATTTATGTGTTTTATCGCTTAAGCCGACATAAAACGCAATACTCGTGCAATCATACTATCAATTGCATAATCCTTCGGATGCGTAAATGCATTTTCTTTATATTCGGATATCTACGCAATGGCGATATACAAAATCCTATTTAAATAGCTTTATCGAGCTTTTATGAGTATTACGTGAGTATGAACGTCGCGAACTAGGTTACACCAGCTATATAACTGCGGTAACCGAATTATTATCAACACGATACCACCGCCCACGGAGACCGACAAAGTCCCAGCGACGTTCAAGTTTTATATCTCACGGTGGAATCCTTGGCTAAGAGGATGTTAAATGACGACGACCCTTTGCGACCGCAAAAACGTAGCAATAAAATTTCCAGCTTAAGAATTCACGGCACACAAATGGATTACTTACACCAGCACACTTACGCGAAATACGATTGTTAAGTGCGTGAGTATGATAGTGAAAAGGACATTAGCAAAGCGGGATAGCACTAAGAAGAATCGTT